AGGTAGGTAGGTAGGTAGGTACATGGAGAAAATTGTACTACCTGAGCCCGAAACCCTCTTATGCATTTAGCTTCTTCAAGCCGAAGTCCTGAACGGCACACTGTCCTGAAGCCAAATTGAATTTTCTGGGCAGTTGGGTTCAGGGATGTGGGACTAGGTTTGTGGTCAACGGGTTTCAACACGGGCGATTAGAGGAATTGGTCACGCCTATAGGCCACAGGCAGCTTAGGGTTTTTGGTCCGGGTTCCGGCAGCCTGCAAACTTGTATAAGTGCAGAACGACATGGACAATCAAGCCGGGCTGCTATCGCGAGTCCGGTCACCGATCTGCTATACTGCAAAAGACCCTTCTTCTTCTTCCTGGCTGCTCACAAGAGAAAGCCCAAGGGATTTGCACAGGGCTTGTCGAGTCTAAGGGTTCAGGTAGAGTTTCGGAACAAGGATAGGGTAGCGGGCTTAGAATCATGACACGATTCCGATTATAAGTCTCCGGGGCTCTCTGGCTGTTTGGTTGAGATTTAGGCTTCTGGGGTGAAGGAGGGGAGCTTGATGTTTGTGGGCAAAAGATCAGCCATCGGCCGTGGCTCTTGGAACAAAGGGACCGGGTTGCCGGATTAATTCAGCGGGAAGCAGGATTGATGTGATCTTTGCTTTAACGGCAGATGTTTGCAGACTTCTTGCAGGAGTTCCGCGACGTGAAAGCCCAAATCCTCGATTCTGAATCCATAGCTGAACCTCCTAATGACGCAAAACATCTGCAGGCGAACAAGCTTTGATGCCTTAAAGCCACGAAATCCGAAAGACTGCAAAGATGGAGGGTGTGGATCAAGGACCCAGAACAATTACGGAACAAGCCCAGGAAATCATTTTTCTCGGATCTCATCTTGGTGCACAGCTCCCAACGCAAGCTTGAACCCCAAGAAGTAGGAGGCCAAAGAAATCTGGAAACTTCGACTTCGCACCCCCTCAGACTGAAGTGAACAGCCTAGTAGGATCGAGGGTGTGCGGGTTAAAGGCTTGGGGTGCAGGGTGCGCGGGGTTTGCGCTTTGGCAGATGGAGTAGTTCGGAATCCTCAGCCCGACCGGAGGAATCAAGCCTGAACACGAGACACCCTTGCACAGCCAAGCGTCATGGACCGGAGTTCATCCAACATCACCTGTGGACCAGGATGCAAATTCTCCTAAACCCCAAGCGCTCTGACACAATCCCGAAGCACAACCGTTACACCGAGCACTCTAACAATAGATCCGAAACTGTCGAGCTTCGGTGTTGGCGATGTTGAGCTGTTGACGCGAATGATTCCAATTCTAATGGCTTCTAGATTCTAGACCCTGCAACCCCTAAACACTAAAGCCGAGGTCCTCGGGTTTGCAAGGCGTACTACACCCTCCGCACACTCGTGACCACAGCGACACTTACTACATTTCATGTCATCATCGTCGCCGCCTCCTCCTCCTCCCTCGTCCTCCTCCCTCCGCCTCCGTCTCCTCCCTCCTTCCCCTCCTCCTCTGGCATGGAATCTTGCTACCAAGGCGACATCTCAAGAATGCCAACAGACACAGGAATGCAGGAATGGGGCACATGCGGTTCATGGCCTAAGGCCATAACCATCACTGTTGTTGTTTCCGGTTCTTGCTGCAATTGTGCAACAGTAACAGGGATGGGTGGTTTGGTGGTTCGATTCTCGTAATAGTGGAACATGTCGAGGAGGGCAATCCGAACCTAGAACAAACCTGCCCATGCCCACTAAAAGCGAGGGAGGTAGGCCAGAGCCACTCAAATCAAGAAGCCCTAAACCCTAAACCC